TTAGAAATGATGACTTAGTTGTACTAGTTTGCTGTGGTTGTCTATATGCCACAGCAAACAAATGCAACATTTGTAGACCTTTAATTTACAAATTTACATACAGAACTGAATATTAAATCAGAAAACTTTAAAATTTATTTTAACTTCAACTAGTCACAGCTTTCAGCTTTGAATAAAATTTGTATGCCTGGCAACGAACGAAAATTAAAATTTTTACATAGCCATGAAAACATACATAATAGGGTTTTGTACCTTAAACCTCCACATTGTAAAATACAAGCACTGTGGAAATGTGACTAATGATCCAGGCCTTCAACCAAATATAATAGGACTACTGAGAAGCTTTATCACTCTTTGTAGAATAGCTTTCTTCTCACTCAAATTCACATAATTGACTCAGTATTACTCTCTGTGCTACAGCTTATTTCTAAGAGAGGTTCTTGGAAAAAAAAATCTATGCATTGTAGAATATTTTCATTTTTAAAAGTTTTACTTCCACCAAAGGGCCTCTGGCTTTGCAAGCAACATTTTTACCTTTTTGCTTTTCATTTTTTCATAAATGAAAATGATATGCTTCATATTCATAAAATCAGTACACATTTCTACAGTGACACTAAGACTTCATGGGCCATCATACAGGAAAGGCATTTACTAGAAATACTCCATCTTTATTGCAAGGCTTTCTTTACCTTTTTCCTTCCCCATATCATGTAACTTGGCATAAACGGAATTGAAACACACAGACTTGGTCAGAGAAAATAGTTAGAATTAGAAATGGGAAAGAAGAGTGGAGCTGAGAAGTAGTTTGGGTTTAGAAGTGAGATTCTAAGCAGGTGTAATAGCTGAAATGAAGGAACAACTCGGGTGAAGCAGAAAGCAGAGCTGACGACAAGAGAAGACTTGGTTCAAGGTTTTAGGGATGTAAATTTTAAAAAGTAATTCCTGTGCTTTTTGAACTTTCAAGACTCTGTATAATCTTGAAAAAATTTGCTGTCCTATGTATGTCAAATATAAGTGATGGCAGAAATAAAACAAAATGGCCATGGAAATAGAAAAAAATCGCTTCCTTTTAAGTGAACTGATTTTTAAAGTTTTATGTGTTTAATTTGGGGACCACTTTAACAAAAAACATTTCATCATTAACAACTGCAGAGAATTTCTGAATTAACTGAGATATATATGACTAAGAAATTAAACAAAGCTATTGTCCTATGTAATCAATGGAGACATGTGTTTGCCTAATAGACAGAGGTTACTTCTGCTAGATTCCAACCATCTGGTATGAAAGGAAAAACAGGTTATGCTATAACTAAAGATAAAAGATAGGCTATAAACATATTTCTCTCTGGTGTTAATCTGGATAGCTGGAATTTAATTCCTGATTCCTATATGCATTTAAAGGTGGTAGGCAACTTTATCTCATGCTATAGGTTTAAATAAAAAAAAAAAAAAATCACATACCCAAGCATACACACAATTTTACTGGCTTCTTCCCCACCCTCTTTGTGGAGAATCAAAGCTGGCAGAAAGTAGCTTGGCCTGTAAGCTCTTCAGCACTTTCTGTGCATCTGGGATAGGGAGACAGCCAGCTACAGGATTCCTGCAGAGATGTTACTGTTTGATGCCTTTCACAAATGCATTACTTAAAACGAAGCAGTCAGTTCAGTGCTAAAGACTGTGTGGGACCTTTGCTCTCACATTATTAGGCGTTATAGAGTAAGATTAAAGACAAAATTTACTCACATAAATAATATGAATAGCTATTAACAAGTATATTTTTCTAACTTCTCTAGTAGGTATGTATCAAGGGCTCAATCACAATAAAATAAAACTGCATATCAACTATATGCATTCCCACATATGTGTAAACCACGAAGAAAGTGAAGAATATTCAATAATAAGCAATAGTGGCAGGGCACAGTGGCTAATGCCTGTAACCCCAGTGTTTTGGGCGGTCAAGGCAGGAAGATGGCTTGAGGCCAGGAGTTTAAGACCAACCTGGACAATACAGCGAGACCCTATCTGTACAAAAATTAAAAATTAGCTGGGTGCAACTGTAGTCCTAGCTACTTTGGAGGCTGGGGTAGGAGCCCAGGTGCTCAAAGCTACAGTGAGTTAGGACTGCACAACTGCATTCCAGCTCGGGCAACAGAGTGAGACCTTGTTTCCGGGCACGGGAAAAAAAGCAATAGTTTGGAGATCATCAGAATTCATTGAAGTATGAAAAAAGTAACATGACATATAATCAGCTAGTCCTAACTATCATGGTAAAATATTTTTAACGTGTTTTATATGACTCGATGTCTAGGGATAGGTCTTTATTCTGACTGAATGTTATTTTCACATATTTAATACTATAGAATTAAACAGGAATATTTTATGTGCTTGAATTTAAAATCTGCTCTTGGAGTTAGTGCAATATTGGATATCTAAGGATGTTTCTCAACTGACACACATGATTAGTATTTCTACCTAGTACACTACATACTTTGTGAAGATATTGACTCTTAAGACTTTGTTCTGGCTCTTCTAGTCTAAATTATACCTAATCAATCCAAAACAGGCAACAGAAAGAAAGGTACTACACTGGTGATGAAATGTCAAATTATATATTTTAAATGGTATCCACTCAACAGGTTTAAAAATAATGGTGTAGTCTCCAGTTAAATATTAAGATGTAAGACATGCACTTCCTCTGTTCATTGTCACAATCTAAGTAAGCCACATAAGAAAGTCAAAACCCTCAAGAACAGAAAATAGAAAAAGACAACAGTAAGTAAATAAATAAATAAGAAATCAACAAAACTTTGAAAGATGGTAAGTGAATAGACAATCAATAACCAATTGATTTAGGTTTCAGCTTTCTCTGCTGTGCTTGATCTGCAAGGGGAGAAACTCAGTAAGAAGAAAGTCAATTCATTCATCAGAAACCTGGGAAAAGTCAAGAACTGGAGACATGAGGTACTTTGATACACAGGGTTGAGGAATGGATAAAATAGGAAGACTGATTAAAAGTCTGTATTGCAGTTCCCAACACTTCCCAGATCTAACTGGTTTTGGTGGTGTGTGTCTGTACTCCCAGCTACTCAGGGGTCTGGAATGTGAGAAACACTTGAGCTCAGGAGTTAGAGGCTGCTATGAACTATGATCATACCACTGCACTACAGCCTGGGCAACAGAGCACGACCCCATCTCTTAAAAAAATTTTTTTAACACAGATTAAGCATATCAGTTACTTTTTATCTCTTCCTAAATTCCACCAAAATGATGGTAAAGGAATCTGCTTTTAAGGACATAAATAAAGTAAGAGAAAAAGCAATAAAATTTTGGAAGCTAGAAAGCAGATTCAACAGAACAAGGAAGCTGAATTCGAAAGTCCAGAAGAAATCTGACTTTAATTCAGATGAGATTGGGTGTGTCCAGGTTGGTATGGCTGTAGACATGAATAAAATAATTCAAAACAATTTTCTAGAACTCAAGAACATGGGTTCACAGACTGGTAAAGTCCCAACACAGGGGATGAAAAAGAAGAGTTTGAAGTTGAAGTAACGACATGTACAAATAAAAAATGCAAATGAAAAATTAAGGTAAGTATTCATCTGTGAATGGTGTTTACATGATCATAATATAAACATGGAATATTGTTCTAAAAACATGACATCACTACATGTGGAAGATGAAATAAATGGAAAATGACCAGTGGTTAACTGGCTGAACAAGGATATGCTTGGGCTTAATCCTTATTTCCAAAGTAAAATGCCAATAGTTAAAGCCTAAAACTAAAATCAAGGAGTGGCCTTGAAAGTACATGGAAATATTAAAGTAAGTATCAAACAGAGAAAAGCTAGAAGAAGTCTCTGAAGAGATGGAAAGGAAGAAAAGAGTAGGGAACATATTTAATTCTAATAAAAATGAGAAAATAATAATATCTCCTCGTAGTAAAAGATACAAGTTTTCAGATTGAAAGGGTAAACCTAAAACTTAGCGCAATCAATGATGAAAAATCAAAAACCAAAAGAAAAACCTTCCAGAGGGGAGGTATAGGTATATACAAAAAGCAAAAGGGCATCCAATTTCTCAAGAGACTTCAAGATTCCGAGGAAAACCTATTTCTTTCTTAGAATTTTCTATTGGGCCAACCTATCTATCAAGTATGAGAGAAAAAACAGAGATAATTCCAGGCAAGCAAGATTTCAAAAGACAATTCGGCACCCTTTCTAAGGACACCATAGGAGAATGTACTCTGCCAAAAAAACTAAACAAAACAAAACAAAAAAAAAACACCAAACAAACAAAAAAACAGAGAGTAAACTAAGGAAGAGGAAATCATGAAATCCAGAAAGGGATAGAGGGAATTCTTGGAAGGCAGTGAAGAAAGTCCCACGATATTAGCTATGCTGGAAGTGTAGAAAAGTAGGGGATCCAGAAGGATATTTCCATGTGGAAAGAAAAAACAGAAATGAAGTATCTGAACTATTGAGGTTCTACCAATTCTGTGGAAGAGTTCATAGTTTCCACAATTATAAAAATAAAAAAGTATTTAAGGAAGGTAATAATACAGTATAAAGCCTGGCTGTAAATATTTTCATAGGTATGACATGATAAAACTGACTAGAAATTTCACAAAATGTTATCTGCATTTTGGGAGAAGGGAAGAAAAGGGAAGAGGAAGAAAGGTGCAATAATATATAAATAATATATATATAGTACCATTACCACATAATATTTAAACACAAAGAAGGAATTCCCAAAAGAAATGCCTAAAAAAGGTGAAAGTGGCTAGACTTGGATAAGAAAGAAAAAGGAGAGCACTAGCATTTTTCTTATATTTAGCTTTTTAAACGATTTACCTCTATTACTTTGAAAATATTTTCAAGTATATAAAAAAATTTCAATAAAGAAAAGTTATCTAATGACATAAAATCTTTCTCAAATCAGAGATGAGATCTAACAGTGTTATCTGCAAAATAAATTAATATTAATGATGTTTTGAAGGATACATTGCAAAAGACAAAACAAGCAGGCACCAGACTAAGCTGATATTCATTTCCTGTGTAGGCTTCATAAAATTGTAGTAGACTTCTGTTACTATATACACAACTGTAGCAGCCACTGTGAAATCCACCAGCCACTGGTATTCTGGAAAGTAATGTAACGCTGCAAAAAAAAAAAAAAAAAAAAAAAAAAGGTTAAAAATATGTTTCGCTTTAATTTTCTCAAATAACTTATGAGGATTTATTTAAAATTAAAATATGTTAGACTTTATTCATTTGCAATGTAAGATTTGTAAATATAGGAATCTAAAAATGCAGGTAATAGACTGAGGATGTCAGCACCCAAAACTAAATTTTAGTACCTCACAAATTAAAATAAACCTTAAAAGATTATCAAAAGTTATTTAAGTTGTTGGTAAAGTATGATGGCAATTTATTGGTATTAACTGATATAGCCATTTTTTTCAGAAATTATAAGTGTTTTCTTTTAAATATCTAGCTATGATACCTTAACTTCAGAAAACAACTTATAGAACACAACCACTTTACTTACATTGTTCACTTTTGTGAAGAGTTAAAGTTTATGTTACAAATATTGGCCGTACTAATTGTAAACTAGTAATTCTGTGAAATACTACAGATTAAAATAATAAACTAGGAAGGGTGCAGTGTCTAGCCTATATTCCCAGTCCTTTTGGAGGCCAAGGTGGGTGGAACACTTGAGGTCAGAAGTTCGAGTCTAGCCTGGCCAACATGGTTAAACCTTGTCTCTACTAAAAATACAAAAATTAGTTGGGCATTGTGGAGGGCACCCATAGCCCCAGCTATTAGGGAGGCTGAGGCAGGAGAATCGCTTAAACATGGGAGGCAAAGGTTGCAGTGAGCTCAGATCATGCCACTGCACTCCAACCTAAGCAAGAGAATGAAACTCCATCTCAAAAATAATAATAATAAAATAATAAATATACTTTTTATACCCTCTTTTGTTCTACAAGAAAAGTTTATAAAATGTCTGTTGATTTTCCATAAAACCATACCCCTTCAACAAACTATTCCATTCTTAAGAGTTTACACTGAAAGTAACATTATTTGAAAGTAAATGTAATTCCATCATCCTTTGCATTTCAGTTGTTTTAAACCTCTTATAAGGCATAGGTATTCTGGTTGACTTCTACAGAGTGTAGTCCAAAACATCAACATCATTTTTTAGAAGGCCTCCTAAAAATGTGGAAGTAAATCACGTACATAACCATCAATTCAGATGTTCTCATGGCACATAATAAAATGATCTGCATTGCTTTGGACAATTCTTAGTCATAAAATATAATAAAATTATACTTGAAGATACAATATCCTTATAGAAAAAGTATTTTGACAATATCATGTAAAATAAGACCTATTGAACACAGTATCAAAACTAACCAAAATTTATACCATTTCTATAAGATGATCGTAACATTTTAATAATCCAAAATTCTTTTATGATTGATTTTAAAATTTGTTTCAAGTTATTTTAAATCTCTTAATCTGCTTCAATTTAACTTTAGGTTAACTGCTTCAGGTTTTCTGAGAGTACAGTGGTATGATCATAGCTCACTGCTGCCTCAGCTTCTGGGGCTTAATCTTCCCACCTCAGCTTCTCTAGTAGCTGGGCTACAAATGCACACCACCACACTTGGCTAATTTTTTTTATCTTTTGTACAGATGTGGTTTCACTATATTGCCCAGGCTGGTCTCAAACTCCTGGGCTCAAGTCACCCTACCATGTTGGCCTCCAAAAGAGAAGGGATTACAGACATGAGCCACCAAACCCAGCCCTACTTTAGGTTTTCTAATTGTGACTGACATACAGCTTCTGAACATAAGCCTGAAAGATTCATCCCGATATGGTTGCAGAATGCTTACCCTCAATCCCCTCCCCCTGCTAAGAAAAAAAAATCACCCATACTGAGCTTTCTATCTGGAAGGAGATAAGAGAAGTGGGTGGGAAGGATAGACCAAAATCCATTTAAGGTTTTCAATTTTATTATCAATAATTGAAATAAGCATTCTAATTCTCCAAACCTGCCCATACTCATAGAGGCTTCCTCCATGGAACTCATTCATAGCAAACAGCCAACTGACATTCAAAAGTTCTAATGTTCTTTAAAAGGTTCTTATAATAAATAGCTAATACAAATTAAGATAGATTTTCACAATAATTATTGAGACACCAATAATATATACATTCCATGAAAGTACAAATTATGTATTTCCTGGGCTATTTAACTCAAGTGTTATATGCTTTGTGCAATCAGTAATACAATTACATATATGCCTTTTAATAAAATACTGAAGTCAAAAGAAGACAGAAAACCCTTTACTTTCACCTAAACACACATATACAACATGCATTCACAAATGATTACATAAACTTGTAAACATATATGAACATCTCCCTGCTATTCTGATTAACTGGAAATGCTCTTGATATTACACGACCAGTTGATAAATGAGTACCATTTGCAATTAGTTCTCAAAATTCTAGAAGTGAAACAAAATACTCCATAAACTACACACTAACGCTATAATACCCTAATTTTAATTTTTTTTTAGTTCATTAAAATAGCCTAGTTCTCACTGACTGCCTGTACCACATTCAGTGGTAACCCTGTCCAAGTTTTTCAACTCTTCTTCCTAATGAGTTAAAAAAAACTGATAACAGTTAGCCACCTCATAATTGTGAGAATGGGGTAATAAAAGTAAAATATTGTAACAAAGTCTGATATTCAATAATTTTATTATTAAAGTTAATTAGCTGACAAATTATTCAATAAACATTATTAAAGATGTTAAAACAACTAAAAATCAGAAAGAATGTTTATATTTTCTGGTATTTATACATGTCTATGAACATTTTATGTAAGTAAGCACATATAGAAGTAGTGAAACAAATGTGACAACTACTAATCAAAAAGTCAATGTGCCTTTAAATGTTTTAAATGTTGAATGTAAATAGTTAAAAAGAGAAAACAGAATGATATCACCAGTCTTAAGAGTCTAAATGATATTAGATAAGTGATTTATATTGTTCTTCACTGACATTTTTTAGTTCTAGGATATCCTTTATATACACATTCAACCTTTACAGATATAATGATAAACTTTCACGTATTTTGAAACCACCGTGTATCATAAAATAATCCTATATGAGATGCTAGATCTCTTAAGATTTTTTGATACCAGTATGATTTAACCCAAGAAGGGTCAAATTACATAATGACACCTTATATGATATTATCAAAATTATTTTTAAAAAACACGTATCATTTTATTTCCTTTATCACATAAACCAGTGGTTCTCAAACCGGGTCAAAAATCAAAATCACTTGGAGCACTTTTAAAAATGCAAATTCCCAAAACACACTCTAGATTCACTAAATCTCCAAGGATGGGAGTAGGAAATCTTTATTTCAAAAAAATCTACTAAGTGATTTTGATATATGCCAAAGTTGAAAAACCAGTGTTTTAAATTATTTCACCTTAGATGCCTTTTCCTTCTAGGATTCAAATAATTTCATATAAATATCATTTTAAACTAGAATCACTGTAGTCGTTATATAATTACCGAAATTGAGATACTAAATTTCTGTAATTTATAGGAGAAAAACTAAATGACCTATTCAGAAATAATGGGTAAAAGTAAATCCTGAATAAGTAAACTTTTCTAATTTCTAATCCAGTTCATTATTCTAAAACCACTTTCCTCTTTACTGTATGTGACCCTAAACTGTTGTTCAAGGGTCAGCTGTATTTCTATTGAATTACCTATATTCAGAAATACAGGTAATTCAACAGAAATACAGCTGACCCTTGAACAAGAGTTTGAACCACGCTTGTCTACTTATACGCAGATTTTCTTCCACCCCACCACCCCTCAGACAGCAAGACCAACCCCTCCTCTACCTTCTTTTCCTCAGCCTACTCAAAGTGAGGATCACAACGATGAAGACTTTTATGATGATCCACTTCCACTTTAGAGAAAATAACTTTTCTCTCTCTTATGATTTTCTTTATAACATTTTTTTCTCTAGCTTACTTTAATTGTAATAATACAGTATATAATACATATAACATACAAAGTATGTGTTGGCTGTTTATGTTATTGGTAAATCTTCTGGTCAGCAGTCGCCTGTTAGTAGTTAGGTTTACGGACAGTCAAAAGTTGTACTTGAATTTTCAACTGCATAGGAATAGGCACATCAACCCCTGGGCTGCTCACAGCCTGACATTTCTAATTCAGTTTTGCAAGCCACATTAGAAAAGGGCAGACTGGCATAAATAGTAAAAGGAAGTCTAGAACTCTAGATAACAAGAATTGACTGTGATCTCAATCTAATAAACAGAAACTGTTAACAAACTTGTGTAAGCCTCTTTCAAAAACAGGAAAAATAATTCAAGTTAGGTGAACAAAAAAAGAAATTTAATTCAAATGAAGTCATTTGAGCTTCTAAGTTCTTAGAAAGATTCCATATTCTGTATAATGAACTTAATGATTAAAATGAAAGTACTTTCACTACCATAATATAAAACTGAGATTTATAGAACATTTTAGTAAGATTTCCCTTACCTAAAGTATCCACTTCTGTAACTGACTTTGTTTCTAGATGAAGGTCAATATCCTTTGGAATGGTTAATGGCTTACTTTCAATGTGACCATTATATTTCCTATAAAAATCAGACAAGTGACACAAAAAACAAGTTACCTACACTGTTATCCAAGTGCTTGTTTCAAACTAATTACAAATGAGATTTTAAATTTTACAGTGAAAAGGAAGAATTTCTAATACTTCATCAATAAGGGGATAAGGTACTCAAAGGTAGTTTTTAAAAGGGTACTATAAAATTTGGATATATATTATCATGTGAATATACAGATTAGCAGGGAAATAATTACCTAAATTAGTGGCTGCAACCAACCTTTTTTTGCTAGCTTAGCATTTCACACCCATTTCTCCTACTCTCTTTTCTCTTTAGGCACAAGAATAAATGCAAATGAAGACAAAGTGCACTTCTCCTTGAAGTGACACGTATAAACACACACACATACATACACACAAACAGACCTGTAACTATATGCAAGTCAAAGTTGAAGAACTATATTAAGATTTATGTGTATGAGAAATTCAGAAACATGAAAGACTAACTTGGAATAGCTTTTACTAAAAATTACAGATGAAGGAAAACAAATTCTTCAGGTACATTTGTATGATTCCCAAATTTAATTTTTAAAGACAAACATATAGAAAGTAATAAACTAAGATTTCAATTTATTATTTTATGTATTTTTTTAGACACACAGTTGCCCAGGCTGGGCTGAAATTCCAGGGCTCAAACAATTTGCCTGCCTCAGCCTCTGAGTAGCTGGGACTACAGGTACACACCCCCATGCCCAGCTTCAACTAAGTTTTAATAACATTAACTTCAATACTGAGAAACAACTTTGCATTTATCCGTGAATAAAATGGGAAGCCTTAGTAAAAATAAATTCATGTCAATAAACCAAACAATAAATCTTGTTAATAGGAACAAGGCAGCAATGTTAATGTACCTTTCTGTAACTATAAGGCATGTTCAATGGAAAAAAAATATTGTAAAACAGAATTATTCATTACAAGGCATTATAATAAGGATTCAGGCCAGATGCAGTGGGTCACACCTATAATTCCAACACTTTGAGAGGCCAGGAAGATTGAGGCGGGAGGATTACTTAATCCCAGGGGAGACCAGCCTGGACAACACAGGGAGACCCTGTCTCTACAAATTTTTTAAAAAACTAGCAGGGCATGATGTTGCATGCCTCTGGTCCCAGCTACTCAGGAGGCTGAGGTGGGAAGATCATTTGAGCCTAGGAGATCGAAGTCACAGTGAGTCAGAATTGTGCCACTGCACTTCTGCCTGAGTGACAGAGCAAGACTCTACATAACTATATTTTACAAATGTCGAAAGTGGTAGCTATTGATAGGTGGAAGTGAAACAGCTAAAAAGAAACGGAAACAAAAAACTAACCTGGATTCAAATCCTGGTTACTAGTACATAACCTTACTAGTTAAGTGAACTTGGGCAACTAATTTAACGTCTCTGATCAATAGCTTCTCATTCACCATTAGCTAACTTTCACAGTTGTTTTGTGGATTAAGTAGAACTGTGCTATTTTACTGAAGAACTTAACTACTGGAATAAAAAGAAGTAAGCTTTACTGTTAACATTCCAATGAACTTCCAGGTATATTTGGAATGATAAGTGAATAAGGATGATAGCAGGATCAAAAAAGACAGTCTTTTCAAATTTCCAATTTTAGGCCAAATAATCATTAATGTCGAAATATTTTTTAGCTTATATAAATTTATGAGGTTAGTTTAACATTTTTAAGATATATATGAGAAGTATGGTTACAATTTGTGTCAATCAGTCATGATTTCAGAGTCACAGGGGCCCTAAGAAGTCCTCTTGGATCCCCAGTTGTAAAAACAAAGTCCATTCAGAGAGGTAATCACGCATTTCCCCTAAAAACTCTATTTAAATAGAGACGAAATTTTAAAGCGGGAAGTATTCTTCAAAATGACTATTGTTCTATTTACTCTTTCAATTTCACAGATGAGGCTACTATGGTCTGTTTTGTGAGGTTTATTAGTAGACAGTTCTCTTCATAAACTTTAAACATGAACAGAATATTCAAGGGCTGATGAGACCTACAGAGTTATATTATCCATCCCTTTTAATTTTAAAATGAGGAAATTAAGGCCAAAAGCAGGTTAATTTGCCCAATACCACAACACACAGTAGCAGCAAAACCTGGAAAATAGCCCAAACCAACTGATATCTTTAATGAGTTGTAGGATAAAGATGCGGGTTATAACTCTCTCCTCAATCAACCCCCAACTAAATTTTCTTTAGTATGTTGGCTATATTGTTTTCATGATTTAAAAAAAGAATAAAGTTAACCATTGTTGAGTAAAATAATCACTATTTTGTGTGTATATATAACTACATATTAGATTTTCATGGGTTTTGATCTCAAATTTATCAACTGCTTAAAACATAATTGGTACATGTTTCTTTAATCAAAGCATACAACTATATTTATATAAATTGTGTTAAATATTTAACACTTTATAAGCTCAACAATGTAACTTACCTATCTTTTTTGCTTTTCCCTTTTTGCTGTTTCCCTGCAAGAATTCTTAATTCTTCTTCTGTAGGATGTTGATACCACCTTAAACTAAGCAAAAAAAGAATCCTTTTAAATAAAGTGCTTAAAATCATCAGAATTATTCTTTATCCTATAAATATTTATTAAATTTCATATTTGTGAAGGCACTGTCAAGAAATATCAGGTCAGAACTGTAATCCAAAACTAATACTATCTCTTAAATTTTACAAAGACCTAGATAAAAATCTAGCAAACATTTACCAGGCCCTTATTAGATGCCATTAGATGTCCTGCAATGCCATATGTATGTATATTTCTTACAAGTGGCAATGTATTAATACATTTTAAGATTATACAGGCTTATTATTAAAAGTAAATGAAGTCTGCAGCCAAGTGGGCAGGAGCACATTAATTCTCTACTAACCCCTCAGTTGAAGGAATTGAGAGTTATTTTAAAAAGAGACTTATGTGAATGAATTTTCACATTACAGGTACTCTTTCTTTTCCCTTTTTAATTTAGTTTGAGAATTCTCAAACTTTATGTGTAGAAGAATTAGAGAAAAATCATTGTATTACAAAACACTTTTAGCTACATCTAACCTTCCTCAGGTAAGGATCCAACAACAACTGGTTGTGTTCCTCTCTACCACAGTAAAAATACTGTAATCTGAAGTGAAGAAATACTCAAGATCCAAACAAATCATTTACTCCCTCCCAAGCACCAAGTGGCTCATCCTGAATTTCACGTTTTGTCAGTCGTCCCAACTATCTACCAGTCACTTAAATATCTTATTTTCAATGTGCCCTCTCCACATGTTATTAATTCTGTCCCTCAACTCTAACAATTCTAAATTCTGCCATATTGCAGAGACCTTAGTTCAGACCTTAGTTCAGTGTATCTTCCTCTGAACATCTGACTATTGCATCTGACTACTGCAAATTCTCTCACCGGTCCCCTCCCTGCCTTCCTGTGGACACATTACTCATCAAATCCATCTGAGCTTACCGCTAGTCATTGTTTTTCTGTTTTTGTTTTTATACCTTACAGAAAGGTGGACCATCTTTACTTATTTTTCCATTATAGAAATCTTATCAAGACCCATGCCTGTTTAAATCATTTCCAAGGCTCCTCACAGGGTAAAGCAATGAAAAAGGCAGCTAGGCAAAAACTTTGACAAAGGCCCTATTGTTATAAAGGAAGAAATGCAGATCTAGTGTGCTAGATCTTCCAATTCTTCAATTACAAAAATCTAGATTTTTTTAAATTTAAAATTGCCCAATTGCTGTTCATTTGTTTTTTGTTGTTTGCTTGTTTGTTTGTTTTTTTTAAAATAGAAACGGGCTCACTTGGTTGCCTAGGCTAGTCTCGAACTCCTGGCTTCAAAGGATCCTCCCTACTCAGCCCTCCAAAATGCTGGGATTACAAGCATGAGCCATGGCACACAGTATCTTTGATTTGCTGTTTTAAAAATACTGCAGGCCAGGCATGGTGAATCATACTAGTAATCCCAGAACTTTAGAAGACTACAGGACTGTCTGAAGCCAGGAGTTTGAGACCAACCTGAGCAATGCAATGAGACTCTATCTCTACAAAAACATTTAAAATTAGGGCCGGGCATGGTGGCTTACGCCTGTAATCCTAGTACTTTGGGAGGCCAAGAAAGGGGGATCACAAGGTCAGGAGATTGAGGCTATTCTGGCCAACATAGTAAAACCCCGTCTCTATTAAAATACAAAAAATTAGCCAGACATGGTGGCATGTGCATGTAGTCCCAGCTACTTAGGAGGCTGAGGCAGGGGAATTTCTTGAACCTGGGAGGCAGGAGTTGCAGTAAGCCAAGATTGTGCCACTGTACTCCAGCCTGGTGAGAGAGTGAGACTCCGTCTCAAAAAAAAAAAAAAAAAAAAAAAAAATTAGCCAGGTGTGGTGGCAGGCACCCATGGTGGGGGAAAGAGGGTGAGGTGGGAGGACTGCTTGAGCCTGGGAGGTCACGGCTGTAATGAGCTGTCATTATGCCCCTGCACTCCACTCTGGGCAACAAAGACCCTATCTCAAAAAAACAAAATAAAACAAAAACCCAACAACTGTAGAACTGGCAATTTGGGCACTGACAGAATATTTGATAATAAAAATTATTAATAAAAATTTTTAGGTATGATAATGGGATGTGGTAATTTTTAAAAATCTCATTTTTTTTATATAAACACTGAAATACCTATGCTGGGGGAAGAACAGATAAAACAAGTTTGGCCACCAGCTATTAATTGTGATGAGTATATAGGAATTCACCATGCTATCTACTCCTTGTATGCTTGAAAATTTCTATTAAAACACATAGTACAAGTCCCACATGTGTATGGGGGTCATGCACTATCTCTTGCTTCTAGAGCCTTTCATGGTCTGACTGACCACTGCCTACTTCTCCAGATTCACCTACAAACATTCCCATTTGAAGGTGATACTTTCTGGCTTGACTAAGTGACATTTTCTTCCTCACAAATTCTTTCATCCCTTTGTGCCTTTTGCATATATTCTTCTCTCCTTATAAACACCTATGCCTCTACTTGGCAAACTATTAATTTATCTCTTAGTGTTTACAAAACAGTCTCCTTGTGGTATAATAAAAAATACATCTGCTTTTTATCCCCAGTTCTTGGCACAGAGTTTTAAACATAAAAACAAGAGTAGTAGAAATATATTTGTTATGCTAATGAGGTAGGTCAAGGTGGGCCCCAGATAGCTGCAGGATGGAGCTGTTTACCAGAAACACCAAGCACACAATTAGAGGGTTAGGGCTTTCAGGAACTTGACCTCCAGGGGTGGGAGGGGCCTGGAAATTGAGGTGGATCACTGAAATCAATTTTGTATCAGTGAATTAAAATCATACTTATATAATGAAACTCCAGAAAAACTCTGGATATCAAAGCTCAGAGGAACTTCCTGTTTGTTAGTTAATGCATGGATGTACCCTGCCCAGAGGATGACATCCTCAGACTCCAGAGGGAAAGGACATGGAAACTCTGTGCTCTTTCCCAAATTTTACCCTATGTGCTTCCTTTAAATAAAACTGTAATAATAAATAAAGCAGTTTCTGAAGTTCTATGAATCATTCTAGTGGATTACTGGACCTGAGGGGATCATAAGAATCCTCAAATTTGTAGCTTATTAATAAGTCAGAAGTGCAGCTGGCCTGAGTACCCTAAAAACTTGAAGATGGCATCTGAAGCAGGGGCAGTCTTACGGAGAAATTTGCCTTTAACCTGTGGGGTCTGTACAAATTCCAGATAATTACTGTCAGAATACAAGTGCAGTATACCCAGTTGGTGTCAGATAAGGTAGATTAAAATGGAACGTTTCCCTAAGTGAAAGATCCAAAAGATTTTACGGCTTTCTTGCTGTTTGTATACTTCAAAGCTAGTACAGTTACTGCCATATAGTAAATGTTCTAAAAGGATGACTTCCCAAAATGAATTCAGTTGTTTGCTTAGTTTAATGAATTTAAGATTAAAAAATATATACATCCCAACCAAAAAGTCCCTAAATTACAATAAACAGGTAAGGAGGCACTTCCTGAATTTCTATTGAAGTCCAGAATTTTAACTTAACAGAATTGATTCTCGTTATTCACCATAGTTTTGTTTTATAAAGTCACCGCGAACACTGAACCATTGCTCCTAGGGGAAATACAGGGTTAGGTTCCTGTGAGCCTTGGGTCATAACATTTTCATCAACTGATCAATACCCAAGCTTCTTTTATGTATGTTTCTGCTTAAAGGTATCTTATTTAATATATATCACTGACTCACTAACATTAAATTCACAGCCAACAGCATAACTCATGCCTGAGCAAAGCTTAACTAATACCAGTAGTCATAAGTACAGCATTTTTTTGAGTTCTATGCATCATTCCAGCAATTTTTTTCCATAAGGCAGCCTTCTTGTGCTTAGGAATACTAAACAGTACCTTCAGCACTATGCTTGGGGGCCTTTTTAAACAGCAAGATCACCAATGGAAAACAAAATTGCAAAAAAAAAAAAAAAAAAAAGTGGCCCTAAACAGATCATAAAAAAGAGATTTGTTTACAATATGACAGCTGAAACAATAAGGCAGACTGTTGCCTTGTTGGACCTCAACCGGGAACATATATATAGGGCCACTCAAATTTTTTGTCACTGTCTATGTCCATGAATTGCCACAAAAGCAACAAAAGCACTGATCTTGGAATTACAAACAAATGCTAGCTAGCAGGCAAATCACAAAACAAAATCCACAAATAATGAGTATGAGCCCATAACATTTAGAAGAACAGTTATGAGCAATAACTCATTTAAAAGAACATGATCCAGAAACTCATGTATAAAGACTAAAATTAGTTGTTCAGCTTTGAGAAATAATAATTAGTGAAAGAATTCTCAGTATAGAAAAAAATGGGTTTTATTTAGAGCCCTATAATAATGAAATATTTTAAGACACATTTTCTAAGAAACATTTTCTTTTTAAATATACTCATGTTTGTTAAATCTTATTTTGTAAGCTCATTTTTCTAAAACAGCTTAGATTTATTATATCTTATGGAATAACTCAGAGTCATCTTTATTAGTGAGAATTATTGTTCAAAGTTAGAATCTAAGGATGCTCAATATTTTTAGGGTCACTTCTAGTCTGTTACTCGTCTACCCATTCATTCATTTATCAGTCACTTAAGGAGAACCTTCTATATTCAGATACTCTGATAGGCAGAGGAGATATAATCACACCCAATTAAAGCCACAACCCTTGCCTTTTTGATGGTTTTACTCCAGTTGCGATATGGTTTTATTCCAGTTGGGATATGGTTTCACTCCAGTTGTGATCAAATTTAACCAATTAAACAATGAAAAATAAATTGCAATGCCACAAAAAAGAATGAAACAAGTGGTGAAATGTGAGAGACAGCCTTAGATATCAGGTGAGATAAACTTCCCTGAGAAATTTAACCAGCAACCTAAAGAATGAGAAAATAGAGGAAGAGTATTCCAGGCAGAGAACACTAAGTCTAAAAGCATAGAGGCATGAAAGAACACAGGATATTACAGTAAATAAAAGCCAATGAGGCAAGAGCTTCATGGAGAAGCATAGAAGGGGCGGAAGAGATAAGAAGGGAACAGATCACGCAAAGCCTAACGGGTCATAGTATGGACTTTAGATTTTATGCTAAATAATGGTCTCAAAGCAAGGTAGATAAATGCTTTAATTCACACTTTAAGATCACATTTGTTGTTCCGTGAATTAGAGGGAGACATGGGGAGTGAATCAACAGGTTTGCTGATAAACAAAGGAAGAGAATGAAAAAAAGTAAGCAATAAATAATACCTACATTTCTGATTTGAAGATAATGATACCTTTTCTGATATGGAAGAGATCAGGAAGAAATCAATAACTTAAAAATGCTGAGTTATAAGTACCCATGAGACATCAAGTAAAAATGTCAAGCGGGGAACTGCATATTAGAATCTGGAGGTCAGAGATAATTTGAGGTGATTATATAATTGTGGTATCCAAATCCATAGGGATTAATAAAAGGGACTAAAAGATGGTATAACACTAAGTAGTTAATGAGAAAGTGAAAAAGTAAAGTTTATGTAGACAACATATGAACAAATTTGGCTACAAAGGGAAATAGAGGAATGACCCAAAACTAAGGAATGGATATGGAGGTGCTTTTGTTTTTTAAGGGTGAGAGAGGTAGGGCTATGAATTTGTTATTTGTTGTTACTTTAAATGGGAGATCTTAAAAAAAAAGTGTGTGTGGTAACAGGAATAATCCAACTGAAATGGAACAGGTGATAAAATGTATTTTACAAAGTTAAATATAAAGAGGACCTGCACATTTCACTAGAGTTGTAGTTTCATAGCATACAGATGAGGGTGATGGACTCTGGTTTCAGGAGCTTAGGGTGAAGCTGAGACAGGGATGCTTAAGGTTTGGAGAGAAAGGATTTATGTTAAAAAAGTTTTCTGAGAAGTATAGCATACAAACACTGCCAGGAAATATAAAGCAGCCATCTAAGGTCTGTAATCACAGATTCCAAGTAAAATCTAGAAGTACAGTTCCACAGTTTAACAGTCAGTGCTGCAAATATAGTTTGATTCCATATGGTATGGTTCTCAGCTATTACATTTTGTATTCTAGTCTCAATTTTCAGTCTTTTCCTTTGCAATTAGGTGGTATGTCTATCTCAGAAAATGACTGCCTGCTTGCAACTGCTGCACTATGCATGCCTTTCTAATATGGGCTTGGAAGACAGATACAGATATAAGTCATTAGAACACAGCAAGTTAATAATGGTCACAAAAATACAATTAGAGAAAAATGCTTTATGATAAGTTAAGCAAAAGAAACATGATATAAAATTACACATACAATACATAACAAGCATGAGGGGAAAATATAAACAGAAACAATTAGAAAGAAATACAAAAAAAATTACATACTGATTGTCTTTGAATGATGGAAATATAATGCATTACCTCTTAATAAAAGGAACTAAAAGATGGTATGATACTAAGTAGTTAATGAGAAAGTGAAAACGTAGAGTTTATGTAGACAACATATGAACAAATTTGGCTACAAAGGGAAATAGAGGAATGGCCCAAAACTAAGGAACGAATATGGAGGTGCTTTGTTTTTCTAAAGAAGAGAGACGTAATTGTACTTATCAATTTTACTAATCAATTTACTATATTTTTTTACATTGTAGATACGTACTGTTTTTGAAATGGGAAAAATGTATTTCTTAGAAAATAGAGAGTAAGTACTAATAGAATCTCACTTAAAAACTCAGCTGGATGTGGGGGATCACACCTGTAATCCCAGCACTTTGGGAGGCCAAGGCAGGTGGATTGCTTGGGCCCAGGAGTTTGAAACTAGTCTGGGCAACATAGCAAGACCCTGTCTCTAAAGTAAATAAATAAGCCTCTCACATTTAAATTAAATAGAAAACTTGCAGCACATAACTTTTACCTTGGCTATTTAGTGGCTTTTTTCACTTATGCTCAGATTATCTGCCGTGACTCTGATAACAAAGCCAATCTAGTATGGTACTCTACTACTAAATAATTAAAATAATTTTTCAAAGATCATTCTTATATAAACCTCTAATATAAAATATTATCAGACAACTACAACTCTTACTAAAACAGTTCAACAGCACTGAAAAAATATGTAGCAGAAAATGTAGAACGTACTGACCTAGACTTTATTTTTAAAATTTAAGCAGTATTTATAGCGCTTTAGAAATTTTAAGAAATAAAGCTTTCAGAAATTTAAAATGGAAACCTAAATGTGAGCAAATATAGAAAAGCAGTTTTAATAGCACAAGCTAAACAAGCTTTAACACATAATCATATAAAATGCTATCTCATGATATACAACATAGGTCACTGTTACAGACTGAATGTTTATGGTCCCCACCCCCCAAATTCTTGTGTTGAAATTTGATCCCCAATGTGATGGTATCTGGAGGTAGGAACTTTCAAAAGTTACTAGTTCCTGAGGGTAAAGCCCTCATTAATAGGATTACTGCCCTTTTAAAAGGAGGTCAGAGAACTAGCTTGTTTTCTTTCTACCAGGTGATGATACAAGAAGTAAGCAGTCTGTAACCCGGGAGAGGGTCCTTACCACAACCTGACCATACTAGCCTGCTGACCTCAGGCATATATCCTCCAGAACTGAGAGAAATACCTGCTGTTGATAAGCCACCCAGTCTATAGTACTTTGTAATAGCAGCCCTAACTGACTAAAACAGTCACTAATGAGTTTTAGGCTCCATTCTAAATCTCTATAATTTTAACCAGTGGCAGGAGGCTTAAGTGAAAACAAATACCACTTAAAACCTAGACAATCTTTCAGCATAGGTAGCTAAAATACTATCTGTTATACACATTCTCTTGTTACTTGTTAGAAATTTTAATAGAATACCACGAACATTCTGGAACTGGAAGTTAGAAAAGCTAAGGCGAGGAGAGCAAGGACTCAGGCATTCCATATGGGTAGTAGCTGAAGGTTTAAACCTTTCCCTTAGGTCATAGGTCCCACCTACTGTGCATTTGAATAGTAGGTTTCTCTCACCAAAGGGAACTTGCAGATTACTGGATCAGGCAACATGCAATAAAGAACAGGCAAAAAGAATTAGAGCAATTGAATACGAAGGTGTTATAACACCCTCTTTAACTGATACTGGATGAGACAAAATCAGAATAAATCTGACCATAATATACTTTCAATGAGGGACATATAAAGGGAAACAGCAGACAAAAGTAGACTTAGGAAGATAAAGGGGTGGAGAAAAATGCATGAGGTTTGGACTGAAAATTAGGAAAACAGAAAGCAGGTTCAGCAAGGAAGCTATTATGGAGAAAAAGCAGTATTCTACTCTTCATGCAAAACCCACTATTCAAATGTACAAAGAATATAACCTAACACTTACCTCTCCAAGAAAAGAGGGGCCAAGCAAACTTCAAAACAAAAAGGAACTTTTATTACAATACAAAGTAGTGAACACTTTGGCTACAAATCAGTGGTATGAGGGGCATAAGACTGCCCTTAACTGATGTGACTAGCTGTTAGAACAAGTGTTCCTTTCATGAGGGAAAGCAGCTCACAACAGAGAAGCAACTTCTTATGAATTTTTTTCCCTTTTAGGAAGGAAAGAGAAAGAGTGTGAGAGCACTAGGCTCTTAAACTCTACTTAATACTTAGCATGCTTTTGGTAATAAAATGCTGATATGCCTTTTGATTTAATTTAAAATAAAAGTTGACTATGTTGTCATGTGAGAACACAGCAAGTGAACTGCATACTACTTATAACCTGAAGGATATATTCTAAAAGACAAAGTACGGCTTGAAAAAAAAAATAGAAAAAGAAAATAATTTAAATAAATTACTCTCTAAACTGCCAATAAAAGTTACAGTGAGTATAGAAAGTTATATGTGTCTCCTCGACCAAATTTAAAACTCTATTCAAGCATGACAGTTCCAGGACAAGATGCGGAACTGATGAGCAGCCACAAATCACATAAATACTAGACTGTGAATCAGACTTCCAGGATAAGAAGTCTGGATCTGTTTCATTTATCAATGTGTGAAATTGAGTACATAATTTAAAACTTGTTTTGCCATTTGTAAAAATGGAGATAATATTGCCTATGGCAGAAAGTAACTAGGTACTCACCAATCTTGTTTTTTATGTCATAGGTATTATTTCCCAGCCTCTCCTGCACTTTGGCCAGAACTAGTCACAGGGCTCCAGCCTATGTAACATGAGCAAAAATGATGTATCTGCTTCTAAGTTTGACACCTTAGGATCTCCTGAAAGATCCACATCCCACTCTCTCTTCACTCACCAGTTGGCACAGCAATCTAACAGGGGACTCCAAGGTAGCAGGAGGAAAAAAGGAGCCATAAGGGAAGGACAGCTTGGAGGTCAGCTGAGCCCTTGAGTCACCATTTTGTGAAGGACCTACCTGGAGAGCTGCTCAATCCCTTTCTGATTCCCCATTTGACCCTGCTTCCTGTCTGAAGAAACTGAGAAACTTGCATTAATTTTATAATACTGAGATTTTAGTTGTAACATATCAACACATCTCCCTAGTTCAATAAACAGATCCAAATGAAAAAAAAAAACATTTAAAAAACTGTAACAGTATAAAGCTTTAAACAATTATAAAGGTAATATTAATGGAATTAAACCAGACTAAAGACTATACACAGTTTCTTTTTTAAAAAGTTTAAAAATACAGTCTAAAAAATAATACTAATAGCAATATATATTATTTAACAAGAGCTAGAAAATTAGTATATTTTTTAGTATTAAAAATCAACAGACTGCTAATTTCTAAGTAAAAGCTGCTTATTCCTTCAAGTACAATTGCTTACTTCTTCAGGGTATTAACTCTTTCAGGAAAATGGCTTACTCATTAAGTCAACATACAATTGTCCCTAGGTATCTGAGGGAAACTGGGGATAGGTGGGGGACTAATACCCACAACACCCCTTCCAGGATACCAAAATCCAAAGATGTTCAAACTCCTTATATATAATTTTCATTTGCATATAAACTACATACATTCTCCTTTATACATTAAGTCATCTCTAGATTTCTTATAATAATACAATGTAGATGGTATATAAATAGTTTTTATCGTGTATTTTTTAAACTTAAACTTGTACTTTTTTCTGAATAGTTTTGATCCATGATTGGCTGAATCGAGAAATAGGGAGCGCAAACTGCACTAGAATCAGATGCCACTTCAAAGTCTCCATTTCAAAGGGAAAGAGGTCAGTGAGAGACAGGGACATATTAGCTGACACCAAAAGAGAAGCCATAACTATAAAAAAAAAATGAACATTTATTTACAGTTTAGGATTATCAATGGGATAAATGAATATTAACATGATATAAACAGAAACAAATTTCTTCTGTCATACTCATGATTAATCTTTCATGTTATCTATTTACTTGAATAGTTCTATTATACAGTTCTATTCAATACAGTCACTCTCAAGCCAGCCTATTCAATATAGTCATTGCCATGCCATCCTACACTATTCATAGTCATGATCTTCTCTCCTTAAATATCCTTTAAGCATTTTATAGACCCTAAAGAATGCCCTCAGATTCTCTATCTTTAACCCAACTGCATCATATGATTTAAAATGCAAACTGTCATTTCTGATCAATAATATTTTTACATAGGCAATTTACAATTTTAGATTTTTTCAGTATTAAAACAGAATCATTATATATTACAAAAGGCTCATAAAACAATAATTATGTCAAAACGATAAAATCAACAATCTTATTCAATAGAGATAAATGACAACATGACCTCAAAATTTTAGGACTTAACTTTAAAAAAAGGTAGATGATCTTAAAAACATAAAACAAAATTGGGAAGAAATGAAACTACCTATAGCAGAAAAGTAACTATTACTAGACTTTCTCAATATCCTTAGAACGTGATATGGATTAAAGACAGCATTAATTAACACAAATGTGCTTATAAAAGTAAGTCAAGATCACAAAGAAAACCAATTTCATGTTTCTTTTTAAAGAGTTTACCCTCAAATTATCTATGTATACTTATGACACATTCTTATGAGAAAAAGGTTTTAAAAATAAACTCTTTCAATATTAATAAAGATAACAAGGTTTTTGATCTCTGAAGGCTTTAGTTTTCACTGGTGAGTGTAAGTTTTATAGAAATAAATGGAAAGCAAAATATGTAACAAGATGAAAATGCATATACACTAAAAGGGGACAAGATTGCCAAGATCTTTACAGACAAAGAGGAGATATGGAAGTGACATCACATCATAAGCATAGTTTAGAAACCTACAGTTCTCAAGAGAAAATAAGCTACCTTAATGTATGTTATGTAGTTTACTAACTGAGATCCTTTTTACTTCAAATTAATGATAATTTGCCCAGCTGATATTTATCTTTTCATGATCTTCAAAAAATGGTTTTGGTAAGCGAAATCAGGAAGCAAGATTGCACAGGCATATTAAGCCTAAACAGTAAAAAACTAGTTAAAGATTATTGATTTTTCACTTATTTTAGACTTTACCAAAACTTTAGTTATTTTTTTTATTTTGCTCCTAAAAATGTGCATTTGTAAAAAGCTCACTCACACATTCATTATACATACACATACGTGTATATCATATTGTTCCAAAAAAATTTTAAAGTAGTCTAAATATTTTTCAGTATTTAAAAATCAATATGGAAAAAAGTAGAAAGCACAGAGGAGAATATAAATACTTTAAAAAAGAAAGTAAATTCTGTGAAGAAAATTTAAGCTTTGTAAATGGGATGGCCCTGAATGAAAAGCACATTTGTCTTGAAGAACATGAAATCATTACTAGAAGAGCTAGCCATTGCTTTTCTAACTTCAATAGGCCTAACCAAAAGTAAATGGACATAGAAAGCAGTAACAGAATTTGGTTATTTAACTGAAATAAATAATTGAAGTAAATAGTCATGGTACCACATTTATCACTTACCTTTCACAGTTACACAAGATTTTGGCATGCTTTGCTCTGTGCAGACTTTCCTTGATTTCGCCTCACTGTATCTATATCTATTCTTTTTTAATCTACTTTTTTTGGGGGATGGGAGGTACATGTTTCAGCAAGGCTACTTAGCTCCTTTATGGAAGGAATAGGGATTGTGAGCTTATAGTGTAGTAGACAAAATTAAAATCCTACAACATAACTTTATCCCCTCCTTGCTAAATTAAACAGTTTAAAATTCTTTGCAGTAAAACTAAGAACTGTTAACACTCACATTATAATAAATTCTGGACTAAGCCACCAATAGAATATATGCTTTCAGTATTTTCTTCCAACAATGGTAAAAATATTGAAGCACTTGGATTTACAATGTCTCACCCCCTTGTTGACCAAATTTTTTTTAAGGTAACTCGAGAAAATATGTAGTATTCTCAGTGACCACAGAGATGAAAAAAAAAAGGTGGAGGTGAGAGGAGTGAATTCTTGTCTTTGATCCTATTATCTTTGTGCTAAACAGGTAAACTACTAGTATCTCAAACTAACAGTAATAAGGAAGCTATAGCCAGGCAATCCCAGCACTTTGGGAGGCCGAGTTGGGAGGACTGCTTGAGGCCAGGAGATGGAGAACTGCCTGTACAGCATAGCAAGGTCTTGTCTCCACACGCAAAAATATATATATATATTTTTTAAGAGAAATAAGAAAGCCAGATTTTTCTTATGACTTTGTTTTATCTTTTAGAAACAGTCACTAGGAAGTTAATCAGTTTGGTAAACTAGAGATTGAAAGTGTCAGTTGAAATCAGCCTAACCTTGCCTTACCTGCCATTACAGAGTAGCCATCGAGCAAGAGAATAGTGAGGTATAATCTTCTGCATGACACTGGCCATCACCATGGTAACAACCAGCTGTATACCTATCACACCCTGTGTAAAAAAAACAAACAAGTTTAATAATGAATGAATTTGGATTTAGGGACATTGCTGGAAAACTTTCTGTACATTTTGAAAATTACATTTTAAGAAAAATGAGTTTACTATGAAAATACATTACTCTTGCCTTTCTATAGCTGCAGGCTTCACAACTACAGATCAAAAATATGCAGGAAAAAAAACAGTAAAAAATACTATTAAAAATATATTACAAATTTAAATAATAGAGTATAAAATCTATTAACAGAGCATTTACATTGTATTAGGTAATATAAGTAATCTAGAGATGATTTAAAGTATACAGGAGGATGTGCATAGGTTATATGTAAATACTATGTCATTTTATGTAAGAGACAAAAATGGTCCTTACATAAAAATGATTTTGGTATGGGGTAGTCCAGGGACAAATCCCCTGTGGATACTGAGGGACAACTCTTAAATTCTGGCAATTAGGTATTCAAGATCACATAGTTTAATATAAATTTAAAATGAATTAGCATATACATCTGTAATCTATTCTCAAGAAATGTTCTGCATGAATTAAGGATATCAAAATAAAGTAGAAAGTGATTTCTTCTTCCTTCTCCAATTTACTCAACACACTTAAAACATAAGCTTGACAAGCTTTAAAAAAAATATGGCTGTTTTTAATTCTAGGTGGTAGCGATCATAAACCATTAACTATACTAAGTGTGATGGCAGAACTGGCCTGAAAGTCACTAATAAAGAAAACTGAACTGATGCTGTTACCACCCACTTCCAGTGAATGGGTCTTAATGTCCAACAATCCTCTTAGTTTACTCTCATCGATCCCTCCCATATTCTTCATGATGGCTAATTCAAACCTTCTTCCCTCTCCTCACACCTTCAATTCCCTTCAAACGTCTAACTCTCCACTAGGTAGAGGACATCTACTTTACAGGGAAAACAGACACAATCAAATGGGAAACCTCTCACTTCCCACCAATAAGCTCACAAAATCACTTATATATGCACCTGTCTTTTCCCATATCCCCAGAAATAAGAGCATCTTCTATAGAAAGCAAATCTATCTGTGCTTTAGAGCCCACTCTCTTTGATTTTCAGGAACTTCCACCATTGAACAGTCTTCTTCTCTTCTTTAATATCTTTTCTATTTTGAATCCCTCCTATCAGCATTGTAAAACCTGTAAATTTCTTTTAATTTTTCTAAAGAATTATAATAATTTCCCTGTTTGACAGCCTTCTCCCAACCTCATATTCAGAGCCACTTTTTAAGACTTGTTCTGTTCCCATTTTCTCATATCTCCCACACAGTATCCATCTAACTTCTACACCTCAGTGTATTCCACTGAAACATGTACCATAAAGGAAGATCATTCCATCTTGACAAATTATTTTTCCTCAACTTAAATCTCAGCAGTATCCTACATGGTATACCACATTCCCTGTTTTATTACCACATTGATGATCAATCCTTTATCCTCCCCTTTGCTGGCTTCTTCTCTAGCCAGGCACTCCAAAAATAAAGTTGAAATCTTATCTCAAACCTAATAGATCAAAAAAGCACTTAAAAATGTTAAGGCTGGGCATGGTGGCTCATGCCTGTAATCCCAGCACTTAGGGAGGCCAAGGCAGGAGGATCACCTGAGGTCAGGAACTGGAGACCAGCCTGGCCAACATGGTGAAACCCCAACTCTACTAAAAATACAAAAATTAGCCAGGCGTGGTGGCATGTGCCTATAATCCCAGCTACTCAGGAGGCTGAGGAAGGAGAATCGCTTGAACTCAGGAGATGGAGGCTGCAGTGAGCCAAGATCGTGCCACTGCACTACAAGCTGGGCAACGAGAGAGACTCCAACCCTCTCCCGCCCCCTGCCCAGCCAAAAAAGCTAAAAAAATTTAAGAAGAAAAAACAGTATGGCCTATTGATTTAGGAGAATGGATTCAGAACCCAAACTGCCTAAGTTACAAGCTGTTCTACATTACCTACTAGCTATGTGACTTTGGACATGTTATTTAAACATTCTGAAAGTCTAGTTCCCCTTCTATGAAATGGAGTTAGTAACTCCATCTGCTTCATCAAGCTGTGCTTAGAAATTGTTCCTGGTACAGAGTTATGTTAGTACTATTTATCATCATTGTTATTATCACTACTAGTAGAAGACAAAATTTTTCATATGAGGTCAAGAATAAAGACTTTCAAAAGGAGACAGCAGTATCCTAAATGATAAAAGACCAAGTCGAAAAAAAAAATCAAATTTCTGCATAAAGAAACTATAATATAAACAATGTAAAAAGATTAATTGGGGAAAAGTATAACTCATCACAAAGAGATAGTAGATATTACAGAGATTTATTATAATTAGTAAAATATCAGTTGTCTAATTAAAAAAATATGTACAGACAGTTCTCAAAAAAAATTAAAAAATGGTTCTTAAACAGGACCATTTATTTACTTAACTTTTATTTTAGGTTCAGGGGTACATGTAAGGGTTTGTTATATAGGTAAGCTGCATGTCACAGGGGTTTGGCGTACAAATTATTTTATCACTCAGGTAATAAGCATAGTACCTGATAGGCAGTTCTTCGATCATCGCCCTCCTCCTATTTCTATCCTCAAATAGGCCCTGGTGTCTCATTCCCTTCTTGGTGTACTCAGTGTTTAGCTCTCACTTATAAATGAGAACATGCAGTATTTGGTTTTCTGTTCCTGCATTAGTTTGCTTAGGATACAGGCCTAAACTCCATCCATGTTGCTTCAAAGGACGTGATCCCATTCTTTTAACGGTTGCATAGTATTCTATGGTGTATATGTATTCAATACCACCTTTTCTGTATCCAGGCTACCACTGATGGGTATTTAGGTTGATTCCATGTGTTCGCTATTGTGACTAATGCTGCAATGAACATATATGCATGCATGTGTGTTTACGGTAGAATGATTTACAGTCCTTTGGGTATATACCCAATAGTGAGATTGCTGGATCAAATGGTAATCTGTTTTAAGTTCTTTGAAAAATCGCCACACTGTTTTCCACAATAGCTGAATTAATTTACATTCCCACCAGCAGTGCATAAGTGATTCTGAATTATCTCCATAACCTCACCAGCATGTGTTATTTTTTGACTTTTTATTAACAGCCATTCTGACTAGCATGAGATGGTATTTCACTGTGGTTTTGATTTACATTTCTTTAATGATTAGTAATGTTGAGCATTTTTTCATATGCTTGTTGGACACATAAATGTCTTCATTAGAAAAGTGTCTGTTCATGTCCTTTGCCCACTTTTTGATGTGGCTGTCTGGTTTTTGCTTGTAAATTTGTTTAAGTTCCTTATACATTAGAAATATCACACCTTTGCCAGGTCCGTAGTTTGCAAATATTTCCTCCCATTCTGCAGGTTGTCTGTTTAGTCTGTTGATAGTTTCTTCTGCTGTCCAGAAGCTCTTTAGTTTAATTAGGTCCCATCTGCCAATTTTTATTATTGTTGCAACTGCTTTTGGCATCTTTGTCTCAAAGTCTTTGCCAGGTCCTATGTCCAGGATAGTATTCCCTAGGTTATCTTTCAGGGGTTTTATTGGTTTTTTTATTTTAGATTTAAGTTTTTAACCCATCTAAGTTGATTTTTGTACATGGTGTAACGAAGGGGTCCAGCTCTACTCTTCTGTATATGGCTTGTCAGTTATCCCAGCACCATTTACTGAATAGGAAGTCTTTTCCCATTGCTTGTTTTTGTTGATTTTGTCAAAGGTCACATGGTTGTAGGTGTGTGGCATTATTTGAGTTCCCTATGCTGTTCCACTGGTGTACGTGTCTGTTTTGGTACCACTACCATGCCGTTTTGGTTACTATAGCCTTGTGGTATAATTTGAAGTCGAGTAATGTGATGCCTCCAGCTTTGTTCTTTTTGCTTAGGACTGCCTTAGCTACTTGAGCTTTTTTGGTTCCATATGAATTTTAAAATAGTTTTTTCTAATTCTGTTAAGAATGTCATTGGTAGTTTTGATAGGAATTTGAATCTGTACATTGCTTTGGAATTTGAATCTGTACACTGCTTATGGCCATTTGGACAATATTAATTCTTCCCTTCCATGACCACAGAAAGTTTTTCCATTTGTTCGTGTTTTCTCTGATTTCTTTGAGCAGTGTTTTGTAATTCTGGTTATGCAGGTCTTTCACTTCCTTGGTTAACTGTATTCCTAGGTATTTTACTCTTTCTGTGGCTACTGTGAGTCAGACTGCATTCTTGACTTGGCTCTCAACTTTGTGTTGGTGTATACGAATGCTACTGATTTTTATACATTGATTTTGTGTCCTAAAACTTTGCTCAAGTTGTGTATCAAATTAAGGTGCTTTGGGGCAGAGACTATGGGGTTTTCTGATATGGAATCATATAATCCGCAGACAGGGATAAAAAGAACAAAGCTAGAGGTACCATGTCACCCAACTGTTTTTTAAAACGTCTACCAAACCAGACTCAACTATGGTTTTATTTGTGGACATTTTAATATCTTACACTCTATCAACTAGGTTAAAGTTCAGTTCATTTTTCTATTAAGCTACCATCAAAGGTTGCATTTTTTACCCTTTTCTTTCACATTTCCTATCACTTGAATTTACTGTCCTATTTTCTGTGTAGTTTGTGGTACAAGTTCTACAATCTCCGTACAATGAATGCCATTACAAAGAACTCTTTCAGGCAGAACAAGACCAAGAAATACATTAGTAAGTATTCCAAAAGGTTGATCTATTTGAGATTATAGACTTAAAAGCAAGAGATCATTTTGTAGTCAGACAAAGTTTTGTAGTCAAAGTGAATATCAACCTACCCTTAAAAGAAGTGGCAGCAGTACACAGAATCTTCAAGGTCATAATTTAATAAAATCTCTCACAAACATATATAATAATTTATTAAGAGTATGTATATGATTTCTGTTCCTTAACAGCAAAAATTATGTCTTAGTCACAACTGCTAGTCACAGCTGTCAAATGTTATTTCAGAAAGACTGACCTGAAAGATACATATGAGGGAGTGTATAAATTGGGGAACTCCCCTTCCTCTAAATCACTAAACATGATAAAATACTGCTGACAGATCTACCTTTAAAGATGTAAATTATGGGCCAGGGGCAGTGGCTCCGGCCTGTAATCCCAGCACTTTGAGAGGCTGAGGCTGGTGGATCACGAGATCAAGACCATCCCAGCCAACATGGTGAAACCCCGTCTATACTAAAAACACACACACACAAAAAAATTAGCTGGGCATGGTGGCAAGTGCCTGTAGTCCCAGCTACTCGGGCAGCTGAGGCAGGAGAATAACTTGAACCCAGGAGACGGAGGTTGCAGTGAGCTGAGATTGCGCCACTGCACTCCAGCCTGATGACAGAGAGACACTCCGTCTCAAAAAAAAAAAAAAAGATATAACTTATGTTAAGGCAAAAAAAAAAAAAAAAAAAAAAGCCAGTAAGCTGGATTGACTAGAATTAGGAAATACCAACTAGCTTTCTGTAATAATCCAGACAAGAAATAATGAAACTTTAAATTACAGTGGTATCTTTGGTACCCAGAGAGAAATATATTTTAGAGACACTGTTGAAGAACTCAATGATCAAACCTGAAAGCAAGGAAGAAATTAAAGAGACTGACCCTAAGAAAGGCAAACATCATAGTATAGCTGGTACATTCTCAGTGTTTCTCAGTGTTAATGTTTGACTAAAATAATGTTCAATACAAAAATGTAACTTCACTCTATCTCTTTACTATACTATGCCATTGCCCTCTTCTTAAATGAGGCTGAAAACAATTTCCTAAAAAACCACCTGAAATCTGTGCTAAATAAATATATTATTATTATATTCTTCTATGTATCTGCTCTTAGGTGAGTAAATATGTGCTACTAAAAAAAAAAGTCACTTTTATATTAGCACAGGAATCTAATCTTTTAGAGAGATACTTTTTAAATTAGGTGGAAAATATTTCACCACAGTTGGCCCTTTTCACGTGCATTTAAAGAAGAATCCTCAGAATGTACTTTCAAAGTAGCAATTATTTTAGAGAATTGTATGTATTACCAATTTAATATATTATTAATATTGAACTTAAATCAACTTTTAAGATATTACTATGCAATTGAAAATTACAGTGTACATGCCAGGGATTAATGTATTAATGTATAAAGTATCCAGTTCATTAACTAAGAAACAGTCATTTAAAATTCAAAAACAAACCATTCTATTAACCTGTTTCACCACCCAATTGAGTGTCAATGTGTAAGTTTATATAAAAGCAGAACTTTGAAATTTTCAAAAATCAAATGTCCTGAATGTTTTTCATAATTTTTAATAAAAGGAGAATGCTTAAATAAATTTAGCCATAAACTTAAACATAAATTTCATAATAGAAAACTGGTCAAATGGGCAGAGATCCAATGAAAATACCAATCTATCATGGCTGAGGTCTCAAACACACAACCATATGGGTCATTGATTGAAGTAGCCTTAATGGTTTTATTAACACTTCAAAACAATAACTTGACCAAAGAGATGGTTTCGGTCTGGATTCAATGCCTCTAGGCACTGATTCTCTTGATAACTGGAACTGGGGAAAGTCATTTATAAAATAGCTCATAAGCACCCATGAAGGGTGAAACACTGGGGTAACTCAGCTTTCAACCTTTCCACATCTATTAACCTAAGGCCATGAAAAGCAGGAAAAAGTTATCAGCCTTTATCTCTAAAAGAATGATCATTTCAATTTTTGTCTTGGCAGGTTACAAAACTTCTTACCAAGAAAGATTAAAGAAATAAAATGTACCAAATGACAGTATTTTGTCTTGCTTTATTAATACTGAAAATAAAACTCTAAAAATTTAAATACAAAACTGCTACAATTTACAAATTTAAACTTTGTGTACTGTGTCAATCTCAGGAGTTGACATTTATGTTTCATTAAACTAGCTCTCTGGATGACAGACTGAAACAAAGCATATATTGTTTATTATTGAAAGGCATATTTGCATATGCTTGGGACTCAGACCACCCCAAATAGTTTCAATTATCATCTCCCTAAATAAGTTAGAAAAGGGAAAATAAAAAAGAGGATATTACCCAATGACCTTCCTATTCATTTGTTTTTTGACTGTTTACATGTTTTAGTGACAGCAAGATAATTTGAGACAGACTTCTCAGGGATGCTCATATAATTTATACTCCAAAAGAAGATGTAAACTGTCATTTCAACCCAGGTTCACGTAAAACTTAAAATTCACACTAGGTGTATTTAAACAAACCACTTTTGAATAATTTATGTATAAGGTAAACAGAGTCCAAACAACAAGCATCACTCAACTACCCAGTTACTGGCACTCAGACCATCTCCAACTCAATGCTTTTTCACCAGTCTATTTGGTGCATTCAATGAACAATTATTGCACAACAAACTACATGTGTAGGACACTGGACCACTAACAATAGGGGAAAAGCACACAGCCCCTGCCATCAATAAGCAAGCCAGTCTACTAGTAGAGTAAATGAACCATTACAATACAAATAAGAGGACAAGAAGAGGTTTCTATGAGAACACAGCAAAAGGAGAAATTAATTGAGAGCAAAGAGGTGTAAAAAGGCATTTTGGAAGGTAATGCATGAGTCAAGACACAGTGGACTCAAGTTTTGTGAATCATCAATGATATTTGCCTCACATGGAAAGATAGAGATAAAAACTCAAGGATCCCATTTTTACACCAAATCCTGGGTCCACAAAAGAGAAAAACACTATAGGACAAAATAGTGCATTTCCCAAAGCCAATCAGCCCATTCTTCCACAGGAGTCTTCTCAGTGGGAGGTGGGATGTTTCCATGCCTTTCAGGTAGTCAAAAGCAGGCTTTTCTTATTTAAACATGCAAAAAACTGAACAACCCCCAGCAACTGCCATTAGTCATCCCTAAAAGTATATCTCCTACCTAGCTATTACACACCAAGGCTAAAAGCTCTCTCATAATGTCAAGTCATTTCTGTTGTCCCCAAAAGTAAAAAAAGTCAGGTAACACTACACAAAACAGAGCAGAAACTTTGATTCTGAGAGGGATCTGTCTGCTTACAATTCTTGGGGTTCCATGAGGAAAACACAGAGGTTTCTCCCAAGATTGTGGTACCTCCTCTGTTTTTCCTAAGGAGACCCAGGCTGCCAGAAATTGCCTTAGGTCATCTCATATGGGCATCAAGGGTAGTAAGAGGACAGACAGAAGCAAATGGAGAAATAATCCAGTCGACTGAGAAGAAAAACAGTTTTCCTCAAAAAACAAGATCCAAGAATACAAAAAAGCTTATAAAGGCTATATAAATCTATACACAGCTAACCTACCAGCTTTTAATTAACCTTTTAACCATAGAGCTCTTTTAAAGAAATCCTTTTAAATCTCTTATTACCAGATTCTAGCCAAGACAAACAGATTGACACCTCTGGCTTTTAAGCCTTCTTTTTTTCCCAATAAGACTTTAACTAAGATTATGACTTAACCACAGATACATGAGGTATTTCCAAAGAAAAGCAATGGGGACTGCTGCTTGGTTGGGGATAAAATCATAATCATAGGAGTGTAGAAAATCGTCCTCATATACTGAGCCTGCCTCATACACTCAACTGGGCCACAGGAACAGCTGAGTCATGAGTCATGGGTTGGCATGTGGTCAGTCTGAAAAACAACTCAAAAAAAACAATCTTAGGTTTTACTAC